CAACACTACTGTACGTGATCTGCATCGATGCAACCCATCCAGGCACAGTCCGACACCGCGCAAGAAATTGGAAATTCCGCCAACGACATGTGCAGATCGATTTGCAGTCAGATCGTTGACGATTATGGTTCACTTGAATATTGTTTATTGGTTAACATTGCGTTCCCCGCCAGCAGCTCGGCTCTTTCGGCTCAGGCGGCTCGGCGGCCTCCGCTTCTTCCGGGCTCCGCAGCAACGTTCCCCGACACTGGTCCTTCGCCGGCCCACAAGCCGAAGCGAACCACTCCGGATCGGACACGGTCTCCTCCATGTCCTCTCAGTTGTCATCCGAAGACGAGGATTATGGATCCGATGGCGACGAGGCCAAGGTGCGCTTGCGTGCGCGCACGCCCGTGGGAAGTGTTTCCAATTTGGAAGAACAAATAGGTTTGAAAGCCGGAAGGGCATGTCATGCATTACGGCCACCCTCTGAGCCAGTGGGCCCCTTTTCGCTTGGCCGCGCTAGTAAGTCTCAGGATAAGAACGCAAATTACTCATAAAAGCAGCGACGTTGCTAGTGTCTTGACATACACATATGTCTAACAATGCATATCGCAAATCGCTGTGAGCTCAATAACTGAGTTTGCTCGGAAGGTGCAAAGCACTTCTCTTGCGCCTTTAATGGCGAATGCAAAATATATTTCCTGAATACAGTGCACTGCCAGAAGCGCCATTTGAAGATACCAAATATGACGCCATTGCAACAATAAATGATGCCACCAGCAGCCTGTATGTGACACAAAAATAATTGCAATTGAGAAAAGCAATTTCAAAATGGCATCGTAGGTTGAGCCGCCAAAATGGTGCTTTCTTCTTGTGATTGTGGAAAAAAGGCACCTAATGCGACCCTCAAATATGCAAGACACGAAAAACATTGTCATACTAGTTTCTGTTTCCAAGCTTCTGCGCTTAAATTAGCAAATTCATGACACATATATGGGTGATGAATAATCGCTTGATCAACAGCGCAGTTTATTCAACCCTTCCGCATCGCAAAGCAACGGTGGCTTTTCCGCTGAGCAATGACAAAAGCAAGCGCAGTTTATTCAACACTTCCACGTCACAAAGTAACGGTGGCTTGTCCGATGAGCACTGACAAAAGCAATGTAGCGATGCTAAGAGTATCCGATCTTCCCCAACCGCGACGACAGGGTCTCTGGGCTTCTCGCGGCGTCCACCGGATCCGAATGCATGAGTCGTTGAGGCGGAAAACCATAATTTGAGGCAATGGAAACTGGGAGCAGTCGCCAGTCCATCTGTGCGCATTACGAAGAGCACAAAAAAAGCAGGCGAAATCGCAACGCAGATAATTCAGCACTGACAATTCATGCGGATGGTTACTCATTCTTCCCTACTCTTACCAGTGGGATAGGTTAGAGTATTCTCGAATATTCCAAATTGCGATCGCATGACTCATGCAGTCGCGGAGGCGCCAGGGTTGGCATTACCACAGTGACCACGCTATCTCAGGCTGGAATTGACCACAGTATTGCGAACGAAAAGAGTAATGTCAATCAATTCTTAGCTGAATTCCACGGCGCTGCGCAAAATCTAGCCAGAATTTCTGAGCCCCTAATCTTAGGATCTTACCTAAGCACTTGCATGTGCAAGCGCGCTTTTGATTCGGGTACACTGGGCTCCCAACGGATTCCAAGATTGGATTCCCTCCTTTTGCCTCCATTGGATTCAGTGTGTGAATGAAAACCACGTCTTCCAAAATTGCCGGTTCCGAGATTTTCAATCGCAATTCTTAATTAATCGATAAATTGGAATCTGGCAACAGCCCGTGGTGATTGCCATAAGCAGGACTTGGAAACTGAGTGAATTTGATTGCGGCCTCCAATCAAAGTGATGCAGTCTTTTCAAGTATCAATGTTCATTTGATCAACATTGGAATCTTCTTGATACTTATTGTACCCTGAGTTCCAAAACACTACCAAACAATCTAAATTACTGCAAACGGATTGCCACCACTGGAGATGTTATCAGAATCTGAAAGCTTCTGAGGTTTTGAAAACTGATCAGTTGTTAACAATTTCAAAAGTAAAACTTGTCCGCTTTATAAAATTTCTTTCACCACTTAGACAGCTTCACATTGCTAAAAATAGTGTATGTTGCTTTGACTGGGCTGAAATGTCCCAATCGATACATCTTCATCGTATATTTGATCCCGTTACCACAAGAGAGAAAATCAAATATGGGTTTCATTTGCACGTCGATCCAATGTAGCTCAAAATCTTCGTGTCCTGCATTTTCCCCAAGGTAGTGCCCATGGACAGGGAGCAATTGGCAGAGGCATCCACAGCGGGCCCGGCGCTAATCGCCTCCACCTCCAGCAGGCGCCTCCCGAGGGCTCCAGAACTCTCTCGAACTGGCGGCGAGGGGTCTCGAAAGGCGTTTGCAGCGGAGGGCGGCGGTGTCGCCTCCAAACTCAAGGACGGAATCAAAAAGATCTTCAAGCGTTGATGGGATTTCAGAAGCGAACCCCCTTGGGGACCTTCATATCGCCTTGTGATTCTCTTCTCTTCTCTCCTCTTTTCTTGCGCTTCTCTTCTGCTGGGCGGTACAATGGACGCATGTCTTGTGCGAGGTGGCACCTGGACACTGGAATGCGATGCAGCATTTTGGAATCGAAGGAAACGGCGATGGGGGGGACAAGGGCGATGCCTCTCCCGAGCAGAACAGGCAGCTGGCGGCAGCATCCGTGAATTTATTTCTAGTGTCTTTCTCGGTTGATGGGATGAGGGACGTTGTGTAATTTGAGATTGATTTTCGACCATAGTGCTCACTTATGCTGCGGGCGCGTTGCCTTGAGCACATGCTTAAGTATGTGTGTCCGTTATCACGTGTCCATAATTGAGACATGGGACGTAGCAAAAGGATTCCAAGGCATCCATGTGGGGCTAAGGAAACAAGGTGATAGGATGGGATGTGTGCGCGCTCCATTAATCATGAATCGTTATAAAAGGATGAATAAAGCTTTTCGAAAATAGCACTAGGCAAAAAAGGGCCAAATAACACGTGTTCAAACGTGTACAAAGTTTACGGGTTTGTGTTATTTTTGTGTTCTTAGCGTGCAGAACTTTGATGAAATGTGTTTTATGTGTATTCGCAAAAGTGTTATTTGGCCCTTTTTTCCTAGTGTAGCTGGTACAGGTATTCACATGTACAAAAGCTACTTATCGACTGTTACAGGTTGTGATAATGTGCTTACCTGGCACGGTACATCAATACTAATCTTCCCTACATTGTAGCCAAACAAAATTGTTGCATTAGTACTAAATCAATAATGCAAGCTCAATAATAATAGTAGAATATGTAGCAGTGGCTAATGTGTAAATAGCAACGGAATGTGTGGGAAGTAACAACGCACACTCAGTAGCTCATACGCTTTGAGGAACAGCAGTGCAAATTGGAATAAAGCGTTTCAGAGAAGAACCTGAAGACGCCCCGGACCCCAAAAGGTACGTTTCACGGCGATGGTGACCCTGTGCTACGGGAAATGGGACCCGGGAATTCGGGGAACAGCAACTAAGGACGTGCCCACAGAATGGGATGCCAGAGTTGAGGCTGTTGGACGTGCATATATAAATTCATGTATGTGCAGCATCTTGTGAGGTTAGGGATTCCCTTGCTCGCCGCAAGCTTTGCCCCAAGCAAGACGCCTGACAGATGTGCACACCTCAATCATTTAGCAATGACAGAGGCTTAACTTAAGGATAAACAATTTGAGCCCCATACTCGTGTATGTTTACCTTTGAGATTCATTAAGTACAGCAGCGAAAGTGGCAAAAAGAGTTACAAATATTTTGTGCGCTGCGGCTCAACAATCTTTGTGCACGGCTAATACGTGTTCTCACCAAGTTAATCTGTAACACAATATGAGACCGGGATCAATATGTGCAAATTGTCCCTTTCTTCCTGGCGTTCATCATGTACTGTCTGTGTTGGAGTTATTTTCCCAGTTTTTGAGTCATTTCCAGCTGAATTGGTTAATAGAGCATCCCCAAATTAGCTCCATATGTTAAACTTTGGCGAACATCTGAATCACTCGACACTGTAGGAACATACACAGACACAAAGGCTCAAAAATACAAGCACCAAAGCCTCATTTTGAAACACACATTCGCCACACAGAGTGGGATGGGATGTAGCACGCAAGTGCAAATGGCTGGCTGCCACGGTGGACAAGTGCGTGTTGGACGCTGTGCAAATTTGTAACGCCAGTTCTCATGCGCGCAGGCACTTTCAGTGGAATGTGGGGACCGCTGAACAGTGCACAAGGCCGGTTCAGCGAGGCTTGATGCCCACACGGTGCGGATCGCCGTGCGGCTCGGCGACGCACAGAAGGCGAATTTTCGCTGCCTCTCGAGCCCATGTAAGTTTGGAACCAGGCTCCCAGCCCAATCGTCTCCTGTCTGAATTGTCGTCTGCCCATCTGGCTGAGCTGGGCCTGTCTTCAATCTCCTCTGCAGGACGCTGTCCAAATTTGGATTATCCAAATTAGCTGTTTTCTCCCTAACGGCTTGTCCGAATTGGTGTCCACCCCGGTTGGTTTCACCATCACTTCCACAAATGATCCGGATTCCGGACACATTCTTCACTTTCATTTCCGACCCAACAAGGAAAAACCGGTGGGGCGAATGCAACCCTGGCGAGTGCCAACACCAGCCGTGGTCGAGAGTACACTAGTCCCCCTGTCTTCCGTGAGGATCCCTTCTTCTTCCACGGACAAGGCCAACGCCGGTCACTGGGTGGTGGTTTTGGGGTTTAGGGTATTGCGGAAAAAGCCGGACTAATTTCCAGCCGCAGCAGCGACACATCACCTTCCACGCCCTGCATGGCCCAAAGCGGAACATGCGTCACCCGCAGACAACACGAGAGGCTCGCCCGCCGCCCACACCGCGGCGCAGCGCCCCCGCGCACCCGCAGCGGCCGCCGGGCCCGGTCCCCGCATCGCGATGGATTCGGACGGGGCCACCTCCTCCTACTCGGCGGGCTCGGAGATCGCGAACGCATCTCGAGGCGCTGGTGAGGGGGAGGGGGTTGTCCGCATGGATGGCGAGATGGGCGGCGGGGCCGAGGGCGGCCTGGCGACGAGGGCCGACGGGCTGGTGAACGTGCGGGAGGCGGGCCTGGGGCCCGAAGCGCTGGTGGTGCATCGGCCGCATGAGGTGGACCCTGGCCGGGTGCTGGCCACGTTCTACGCCGTATTGGTGGGTTGCGGGATCCGCGGTTACGCTTTTGGATTCCAGAACGTTGGATCGCATTTCGGTGTCCCGGTGCCAAACCCGACGTAAGGCAGGATATGGGGGGCTTGCGCCACCTGGCGAGGGAGTGCAAGATGATGTGCGGTCCCAGCGGGTGTTCGCAACGAAATGATTGCTCAGTTTCAAAGAAGGGGCCTGTGGATGTTGCGGATTGGCTCGCGCAGTGTCTGGACATCGGATACTGTTGTGTGTGCGTTGTGCGCTGGGAATGTCGGAATGGGTTCAGGCGAACCCACGCGGGAATTGGGTAATTGGTGTCCTGGTGGATTGTTGTTCGGGGTGTGGAATGCGCACCAGCGAGGGTGTGTGGACACCGCCGTTCGGTCTGTGGGGACAGGCGCTGTGGTAGGGAGCACCGCGGCAGAGAAGGGGGTAGCAGGGAGACGCAGGGTGTGTGAGAGTAGAGTGCACAGTGAGGATGTGGAGTCCAGACTTGCTTTTGTTGCTGTCAGTCAGCTCACGTGGAGCATCAACAATGGAAAGAGCTGAGTCTCAGCCAAGTGCAAGCAGTTGGTGAATTGGGTTCGCGAACTGCAAACCTATCTGTGGAAGTTGTCAGTGTGTCCTGATGGGCTGAGGAACGCCAGAATGGGCGCAGTTTGAAACTGGCCATGTCTGTGGGCGTCATTGGAGGTTGGAATTGCATTGAAAATAAGGAGACGGGGGAGTGGAGGCGTGGCGTGTGTGTGGGATGGACTGCACTGTTGTGGTAGTCTACTGTACCGTGCATTTTGCACGGGGGAGGCAGGGGCCCAGCCACAATAATGCTGTGGAAAGGCTATGAATGCTGAGTGGAATGTGGACGAGTTTGAGAGGCTTGGGTTTGCCTGCCTGCACCACAGTATCACTGAAATTCACCCATTGGCACAGACAAGGTAGTCTTTCTATGGAAAAGAAAACTTTGCATACTGTGGATGGCACTCCTGTGAATATGCTGTGAGACATTTTCCATGCTGTTGGATCTGTTGTGAAAGTCCTCAAGTGTAGCCAGAAAATGGTGTGCAAAATTATGATCCAGTGGCGATGAACAAGTGCTCTTGGATGTTTCTGTCACCATCGTCACCGACAAGGTGCAGGGGCTTGTCACAGTTGTTGGGCAAATGCAATCCATGGAGTTTCAAGAAACATGGAAGGTTTCAGTCCGTCCAGTGCTAACTGTGGGTGTGCCTGGCTTTGCAGGCAATCATCATCCTGGCACAGAGCATGCTGGTTTGGTGGAAGAGGGCTCACAAGCGTTCTTATGAGCTTGTAAGCTGTTGAAAATCTTGTTCATAGTTCATCACTATGCTGAGCATGACTGTGCATCCCTGTAATGTGCAGCTAACAGAGGACTTTGTTTTTGCACAGCAAGGAACCTGCCATGTGCTGTGCAGCCCACCTCATGATCAAGATGGTTTGTGAGATTCGTCCACGCATTGACGCTTTCCCATGCGTATTTTTCCATATGGTGAATGGGATGCAGACGATAGCAATACCCATGGTATCAGCCAGTGGGCGCTGGTGTTGCTGAGAAGTGCCCTCCTTGGCAATGCATGCCACAGCACAAAATTTGGCAGTGCTTGTGACCCACACTGGGTTGTGTGCATGCAGGTCACACTGATAGGTCTCTGGCTTATTCCTGGCTTTGTGTGTCTGGAGAAACACTACTGGCAGTTTCTGACGGTGGGTCAAGTGAATGCATCCTCACCAGAAAGAGCCAACCAATTATGATCTTCACCGTTATCACATCTGGGTGAAGCATGTGTCAAATAAAGTCTTGAGTCAGCATGTAAAAGACAGGCCCGATAGCGCACTTGGGCACGGTGTTGAGGACAGCTGCACCTTCTTTACCCTGGCCAACTGCCTTCTGGCTGTTTTGAGCTGCAGGAACCCAGTAGCAATGCAGACAATGGTTGCTTGGTTGATGCTGATTGTCTATTTATCAAGTAGGGATGGTTCATACAACAGTGCCAACCCACCCAACACCTTCTGAATGTGAGCTGTGTACAAGAGCCTTTTGCACACTTTTGTTTGCTGAAACGTCGATGCTTGGGAAATCTCTGTTGCGATTAATTGTGTTGATTGCTTTCTTGTTTCCAATATGCTGAGCATCCACACTTTGTTTCTTCACACAGCGAATTCTCAGTCTGTGCAGTGTCCTTGAAGTGTTCCCCATTGACCAAGAGCCTAGTCTGCACATTACTGTGCCCTGACTCCATGGAACCTGGCTGGGCCAGCACATGGAAGTATGGCAGCTATGCAAATCCATGAAAGTAGGAAGCTGTGGCACTGATGGAAGTTCGTGACACGATTTTGCATGTCAATGTGCAGGTGTGGGCATTTTATTCGACAGTCACCGGCTACATCTTGTCACTGTGTTTGAGAAAGAGCCTGTCACAGTTTACTCCAAGAAAGGTGCGAGCCAGGCACTCAGTTCCTCTGCTACAGAGGTCGCTAGCATTTACTACAGTGAGGAATAACTTGTGAAACTGACCATTGATGTTCCACAGTTGTTCGTGCACCAACCTGCTCATAAACCTGCCTGATCTCTGTTCATGGGATGCTTACTTACTGGATGCACATTGCTTTCTGGGCAACCCATCTCCAACCACCACCACCTGCAGTGTATGTTCATTATTGTCTGGTGGCTGATTCTTAATTGCCAGTTTGTCTGATTACCATGCAAGAAAGAAAGGTGATGGACATGTTATGCTGTTCTATGCTACTCATAAACTCAAGATTGACCCAGATTCATGCATATTTTATCGCCTTGTTCTGCCACCATGATCGACCTGTTGCTTATCAGGACAGAGCCATGATCCTAGCAGCAGAAATCGTGCAGGGCTCCTGGATACAACAGTGAAGCACTCATAAGCTAGTTGCTCTATGATCTTCTCTTGTTATTTTTTATTTGCACTTCAGTGCTGATGGAGAGGATGGAGACGCTGCTGGCAGTGGCATTGCCCAATCATGCTATGTGGGAAGCTGAGCGGCGATTTGTACAGCATAGGTACATCCTCACATTCTAATGATGTACAGGACTGCGTGAAAGGACCAATAGGAATGACCACACTGGCAGTAGCAGTGGTTGCTGGTATTGGTTACTAGCAGCATCTTCAATATTATCCTTCTTGCAACAAAATTGATTTTCCATTATTGCCAGGAACCAAATGGCAAATGCCAGTGCCCATGCAGCAGAGCATTCTGCTCCATCCTTGCCACACCTGACACACTGTTTTGTGGTTCACAGGTGTACACATGGTTTCTTGGTGTGTACAAAGTTAGCCTGGCAGTGGGGCTAGTTGGCTATGTGTTGCTGCTCATGACCATCTTTGGCCTTGGCCCGATAATATGGACAGTCGTCCCAGCAGGCACGACAGCCAATATCACATTCTTGATGCTGTGGTATGGCTTGTATTTTGGAATTTTGGGCAGAGACTGTGCGGAGGTGGCATCCGATTGTTTGGTGAGCAAGCTGTTTCACGTCAGTTGGCCACATGCATCGGCTTATTTGCAGTGGTGTGCTGATCGACATTGATGTTTGTGCATAATGACATCGTGGCATAAGCACCGATGCCACAAGCCGGTGCGCATTTGGCAAATAGCCTCAAGTGCATGTCGATCAGATTCTTGCCAACCAGATGTACATCAGCATTATATAGGTCCATGTGTCTGTGGCAGTAAGTCTCTAAATAGATCCACCACCCCGAACCTCAACTAATGATTGTGAACCTGAGTGCTTCAAATACACTTGTCTAAGCTGGCAGAGCATCGTCTTTGCACCTTCATGGCTATGGATGCCTATGTTGGGGAGAGCGCTGCATTAGTTCAAGTGCAGCACTGTTGTTCACAGACTGAGGCTGTCACTTAGTAGCAAAGGCCTGGGCATGGCTCCAATGTAGGAAGTGTGGAAGTCAGCGATATGTGAGACATGTGCTGCCTTGGTGTCTGCTAGTGTTAGTTTTCCACATTGCCAGTTTATTATTATTGCACTGGCCCTGCTGTGTGTGTACCAGTCTGCTAATATCGCCTTTGTATACCTTTGGCTTCACAACACTGTGTATATGGACTGCTGACTGAAGTAAAGCCAAGGCCCATGTTTGTAGTTGGCCCAACACAAACTCCTTGACTGCCTAGGCGGCGAAATTGGGGACAGGACGACGCCTGGCGGTTCAAGTGAACAACTGTGGCATTTGCGGAACTGACTTGCAAGATTATTCACATCTTGGTGGCAAGGTGAGACCACTTTCCACTGGTGGGCTTCTGGAGCATCGATGCGACCATGTTTCATGTGCGCACCTTGGGAAAGGAACAAGAACCATAGATGTCCGCTGTCCATATGCTGACAGGACCCTGCAACCAACGCTTGGTTGGGGCCCAAGCGATTGGCAATCTGAACAGTTGTGGATTTCTAGGCCTGCATGGAATCGTGTCATGATCTTAGGACTTTATGCAGCTGTATTTGGCAACCACATGGGCACTGTATGGTTGTCTTTCGGCTTGCATCTACGCCTCAATACGCCTCTCTTTTGGTGTTGGGTGTAATTCACGTTACCACCACAGGAGGATGTTGAGGTATCAGCGCCCGTGCAATTGTCATAGCACAAGATGTGTTTTGTTCTCCATGAGGAAAGACAAAAGGATTCAGACAACTCTTATTCTACCCTTTGTTCTACCTAATGGCATTGGAAAAGGGACAATGCTATGACGGTGGCGCGATGGAACTGTATGAGAAGACAAATTGATAGATGAATGCAGTACCACTGACATATGAATGGGTGAATATGTATAATGTATGAAAATGCCATGGTGAAGGCACGATGATGGATGGACGAGCGGCAGTAGATGTAAATAGTGAGGAAGTGTATGTGTGTGTTCACATGGGATGCAGAAAACAATAAACAATGACGCCAAAAGCGTGCAACACATGCGTGTCCTAGCACAACCTTTGGGATATGTGCAGTTTTAGTACTGTTTGCCGGTTTCGACTAATGATTCTTAGTTACTTTTGAGGCATGAATTGCAGTGTGTGCACCTCTATTGCACAGTCCCAAACTGGGCACCATCTTCAAGCACGTGTCTGGCAACATACCACCCCTCACAACACAGTCCTGATCTTCAAATGCAAACACTCACCTGCAAGGGACCCATAGGGTTGTGATTTAGCGAGTTGCTATGTCCACTGTTCAAAGTGCACAGCAGGACACTCTTAATGCGTGGTGCCTTGCCTTGCTGGGCGGCAGCTCACCGCTTGTTGGATAACAAGAGAATGGAGTTGCAGGCAAGCTGACAGATTGCATGGCTTTTGCACTGCAGCCTCCCTCAGAGCCCTCAGTCCAGCTCGCCTGCAAGCACCTGTTCCACAGCCACTGCATACAGGGATGGACGATGGTTGGAAAGAAGGACTGCTGCCCAACGTGCCTGGAGAAGGTCGATCTCAGGGAGTTGTACAAAGACCGGCCATGGGAGACCAGCAATCTCACCTGGTATGGGAACAGGCCTGTGCTCACGGACTTGTTGCCAGTTTGCTACAGAGCTGAAGTTTGTTGCTCGTCTGATTAGTTTTGCATCTGAAGGAGCAGCCTGAGTTATTTTTAGAAACAGCGAACCCTGCCTGTTCCGCTGTGGCTCTGTCAATGGTGTACCAAAGTGCAGCAGAAATGGAACTAAGCGGATTTCAGTTCAATGCTTCCCTGTCCCACAATGCATCCCATTCGACTCGCATTCCTTCACAGTGTGCAAAAGTGCCCATGTACTCTAAAGAAGTGGACGCGGTCCAATCCATCCAAATTATTGGGTTATTCATCTATCCCACGGTACAATGAGGGATTTTTCAGCCCAGAGTGGCAGTGCGTGCGTGGGAGACACACCAAGCCACAACTGCTTCACACTGCACACTCTTCACATGGCTTGTGTCCCATTGATTGGCACACGGCCTGTCAGGCGAGCGCACAAAGAGGAGCGACTCAATACCCATTATGAAGGATGGATAGACCTGATTGGAAAGGTGTTTGCTCTCAAATTGGGGCGGGGTCGTAGGGTGCCAAAGTTACTGGGCAACGTAGAAACGCTCCCCGCTTTGCATGAAGGGGCGCTTTATCAACATTTGTCAAGTTTGTGGAAATGTTTCTCGAATCCGCTGCTTTCTTTACATGGTGCCCTCGCCCTCGGCTGGCTTCTCAGAATTACGGGGCTCGTCAACGCTTTCGCTCAGGTGCGACTCAGATCCCATATCCAGATAACCCCATTTCCCTCACAACACTCTACAGATGCCCGCTTACACTTTAATATTGTGACGCTGTGGCAGCATGCCGTCATGTGTCATCATCCATATGATGGACAACCACCCTCTTGCAAATGGTCACCCAGAGGCAAAGGAAGAAGCCCTAACCAAATGAATTACGGGACGAGCGTACCAGTCAAATAGTATCCACTGCAAACAGGTCCATTCCGCGTCTCCATTGTCCTCATATGCATTTCACCATCGGTGCCCACCATATCTATTCTTTCACCACAGCAAGAGCACAATGTACCGGAAAATCACTTGTTGACTTCTTTTCCTCCTCACAAAGCACACTGTGCCGCCTTGGCTTGCAGGTTAAAAATGCTGGACGCGGTGCGGTACCTGGTGGTGTGGAATCCCATCATCTTCCTTACGCTGCACTTTGGCCTGTCCGCACTGGGCTGGGACTCTGAAGAGGGGCGTGTAGAATCAGTGCCAGCGGCGCTGCAGAAAGGGGAATAATGTGCAGCCTTCTCTTCGTTGAATTTGTTGGATTCGTGAAGGAATATGGCATTGTAATCGCTCAGGCATGTGTCATGGCTGTTTGTTGCGATGGTAGCCGTGGATGGCGGCATCCCACCCAGAGGGGGCGTTGTGGCTCTCTGCATCGAAGCGTGGGTCAAGTCGCCCGAGAGCTCGACATCTCGATACAGGGATGCAGGAATGGCCGAAACTCCTCCAGCTTCTGACACTGAGAGAATTGCTCATCCCCGCTGGTTGCCGCTCGACAGTGGGCAACTGGATCCCCAACAACGCCCAAAGCATCGATACGGAATTTCTTCGAAGCTGCCGCCTGCCCCTCATCATTTGGACGCTGTCAGCGCTGCCAAGCTGCATCGAGACGAGGGGGTTGGGCTGCGCATTCGTATCCCAAGGGCAGGCGCTTTCGGCGTGCAAGGTGCCCGGAGACTACATTTGTGTGGTATTGCCACTCGCAGCTGGGCAATTGGGCTGGGCAAAGCATTGCTCGGCTGAGGATGACACGTGAATTTCTGAAACAGCGTGCACTGAGACAGCCCCCCGATTCCCTAGTTTGCGCTGAGGGTGCCATCATACAAGTCCCTGGTACTGAGTGAGCTACTTCTATGTGCGCTTTAAGTTTCAATCCTCTTGCGTCAGTCTGAACTGGCGCCCTATACACTCGACACCCGACGCGGCGCCAGCTTTACTACCGAGCAGCCTGGAGAATGTCGCCCTTCATTGGCAACTTCATTTGTGCTTTCTGCGTTAAAATCATCTCCTAACGTGGCGCTGCTGCCGGCAACACCGGAGAAAATTTCCTGATCACATCCGAATGTTTGCACACCTTTGCAACAATTGAATTATTCTGGATGCATACTCAAAAGAGAAGTGCGACGTGTTTAATGCTCCATAGCTGGCAGGTAATGTCATCTTCTGAGCGTGTTCTGTAGATTGCAGCATTTCTTGACATACAGGCACCTGGCATTAGGACAGAGGAAACATTGCCGTCATGCTTGATGCTTTGAGGATTCCTAATAGGTTGATCGACAGAATTTGTCAGCTGTCTCTGCGACACAGTGATGCATCCCTCCTGAATGCGAAAACGAGCTGAGGCGGAATTGTGCATGGGCCATTTTAGACTGCAGGAATCTCCTGCTTACCTTTTTCACGCTTTGGGTACCACGGGACAGTCACCCTCATCCACTGCCAGACCGCCAAGCCAGACATCCTAACAGTGTTGGAGTTGGAGATCGCTATTCCCGTCTCACCAACTGACAAGGAAAACCCCGACATCATTCTGATCCGATAGGAATCGGAACACCCACCACAGGTGCCAGGGACAAAGCCGAAGACAGACCGTCACCGCATTTACGATGCGCCAGAAGCCGGATTTTGATTCCGACGCCCAGCAAGATGAACTGCAACATCGGAAAGCGTCCTTACTTTCGGAGAAAACGAGGGGCTTGACGGACACAGAGATTCGGAGACACTTTCAATAATTTCATGTTGCTCGTTTGGAACAACCATATTCGAGCTCAAACAAAGTCTTTGTCCTGTACCAGGTGGCGCCGTTCAATAAGTGCGTTGCAACAACTGTTCCCGCCTGTCGGCAGCAAGATAATGGTTAACAATGCGGAACAGTCCTCCACTTCCCCACCCACCCACCCCACAACCCATCAGCCCTTGGGCATCCCCAGCAGCAGTGGCGGTCACAGCAGCTCGCCCCCTTCCCTGGGTCTCTCTGGAAATGCGCGCGGTGCTGGAGTGCCAAGGTACAGTTCCCGAAGCCAACGCTGCTTCTCCCTGGTAATTGGATGGCCCCAGTCACGATTTGACAGCCTGGTCATCATCATCATTACAATCCATGGATTACATTTGTCACAAAATGACAAAACACAGCCCGTGCACCTGGTAGGCGATGATGGGCGTGGAAACAAAGCAGATAATATGTTCGCAAACGATTATTCATGGTCCCATATCGCCACTCCCTATTGTCCCATGAAAAGCAACGAGCTGGCATGAGTAATAAAATCCCTGTGGATTATGTTCAGTGTATGTAGCGAAGAGAATTCAGTCCCAACCCTCATGCCTCATGTCCCACGCGAGCCCAAGCACATCGTACGTATGTTACAAAGCGCACCAAGATTCCAAGGCCTTGTGGCACTTGAAAAGGCTGAACAATCCGAGAAAATATGTGCACGATCCTCCCGCCAAAATCCACACATACGGCAAGTTGGCGAATTAAAGAGCTGACAGCGAAAAAGAAAAAATCGACATGGAAAAGCATCAGCCAAAAATTGACATAGAAAGGCGACTTCTGCTCGTGAGAAGGGCTTTGCCCAATCAAGGGAAGGTGTGAATATCCAATTCGCAGCCAAGGCAGAATGCAGCGCTGCCGTCCGTTGCCAATCATGATTAGCCCGTGCATTGTAGTATTTGGTCACGCGCCACTTGATAGCTTGGGCACAATGGGTCATCCTCGGAGCTCGAGCCCCTGAAGCTCCCACCCCATCACTGGCTGCAGCCATCACTCAGCCAGCATCACTGACAGCACTGCAGCCAGCATCACTGACAGCCTGGTGTTGTATTACAAGATCGGATGCTTCCGAAATCAAATGAAAGATGGCAGTACCTGACATCTGGAAGGGGGCGGCACCATGAAAGAAGGGTTGCGCTAGCAAGGGCAGCACATCACAATATGGATGATTCTTTATGACGACCTTGCTGTATTGATAGCGTTGTGTGGCAATGCCATGAATAGATGTTGTGCTTCTGTCCGGCAGCCTTGTGTTGTTGCTTGTTCTATTGTTTCAAGTATTTGTGTCACGGGGCCCTTCGGCCCCCGCTGGTTTCGAAGTGCTGGGGTCGCCGCACCCTCCCACGCAGCCCCTGGTCTTGGGCTGCGCTTCTCACCTCACTTCGGGGTGGCGTTTCCGGGGTGCTCGTTTCTTCGGTCCCGCGGTGGGCCCAATGCTCGACGGGGGATCGTCCCCGGAGCCTGCCATTCGCGGCTGGTGGTGGCACAGCGCTGGGCGGTGGTCGCTGGCTCGCGGGAGGCCAGAGAGTGGGCGCAAAATCGACTACATGCAATCGCGGGGGCGCGTACTCAAATTCGCATGCGCGCGGCCCGATCGCGGGTCCCACGCGGTCACATCAAGACATGACAGTTTAGTGCACGTCCAGGCACGTGTCCCCGACCCCCGATTCACCCATAATACCCTAATTAACCTCTAATGCTCACCGCTAATGGTCCGAACTCAGTGCCCTAAAGTACAGGAACTTCAGGAGGCCATAACTTGGCCGTTTCTACACGGAATTGGACGTTTTAGGGCGGAAATCGCAACAAAAGCTCATAAATAAGCCGATTTTAGCGTATTTGCACTTTTTTGACCAACTTCCACTCCAGAAATGCCAAAAATAGCCTTACCCCAAGTAAGATCACAACAATTTGGGCACATTTCTGTGCACATTGTGGTATGCATTGACTGATGCTTGCGCCTTTTGGCCAGGTGCCCTGCGCGGATATTGCAATTTGCACGCACGCCGTTGCTGCTGGCAACGCAGAGAGGTCAGGTCGAACAGGCGCTCTGGTCAGAAAATGTGCAAGGATGGACGCAATCCTAGGGTGCACTGTAAAATAATTAATTAAATAATTAATTAAATAATTAATTAATTAATTAATTAATTAATTTATTTGTTTGTTTGTTCATTTATTTATTTATTTAGTATTTTGTTGTGTCTCGACTTGTACCATATCTGGCCCAGCTCTGTCTGCTTTTGGCGAATTGACAGCATTGTCTCGCCGTTCAATTGACATAAAACTGGGAGCTACCACATCCCATGCGCCAGGCTTGTTTCTGAGTGCACAGATCTGCACATTGCTCATTTCCTTTGATGCCACTTACAACATAGTTCCAAGCTACAATGAGCGGAGGGCAGAATTAGTTCCTTTCATAAGCCACCATAATTCTGGCACCCTCACTCGAAGTTCTCAGAATCAAGAAGCAACCTAAAACCATTAAACAATCATACGATTCGTGCATGCTGTCATCAAAGCTTCGATTACGTTTTCCAAACCTGAACTCCAGCACGTTGCAGGTGGTGCACGCTCCCAGGAAGTTGTGCCACGCCTTTGCAACCATACAAATTCAGGGCCTGAGGCTGGCTGAGGGACCCAACACTCTCAGGATGTTGTGCCATGCTTTTGCAACCAGACAAACTCAGGGCTTGAAGCTTGCTGAGAGACTAAGAAAGAAGGCACGAAACATTGGGAGAGATACACTGAATTTGGCCCATTTGCCAATTATCGCTATCGTTTATTACGGCGGATACACGTATATGGACTTGTTCGCCTGAATTTTGGTGTCGTGGGTCTTCCTTGAAATGCTGGAAGGGCGTGGTCCAGTTCTGTTGTTGCTTTCCTCGCAATGTCCAATCATCGATACGGTGACATAGATGAATGACAGTATATCGCATCAAAGGATTGTGGATTTGATAGTGTCCTAGGTACTCAGAAGTGTGTATTATATTTGGGAATATATTCACAAAGTCACTAGTCTCTTGTGAATTGTTCTTGGGCTCATTCAGCAACTGGCCTGGTAGTCGAATAGTTTGGAGTTTTCGTTGTCGCATTCTGGGCAAGAATGTTCTGGTGAGTCCCTAGATCACTGGGGGAAGTTCTGAGCCTATGCAAATGCAACAATTTTGACTGGGTCATAATGGATTCACGAATATGGATTGACAAACGTTTGACATTTTGCAGAAAAAAACGACAACAATCAATATTCGTGTTGAGGTGGCTCAATACTGCTGGGTGTAGAGGCGTCCATGAACTAGTTTCAGTCTAGTCATTTTCGGAACGCAGTTCGGCAGTACATTGGTCATTTGCGGGGGAGTGGGGCGGGGTGGGGTAGGGGTGGGGGTGGGGGGTAGGGGGGGTACTTGGGATATTTAACGGGACGCGCGTTGACCGATTAGTGCCAATTCGGGTGCGGTTCCCGGCATAGGGCGCTAGGACCTAACCCGTTGGAGATGGTGATGAGATTCCGCCGATTTCGGAGATTGAAGTGATACCACGCTGTCGTCCAACATTGTCCGCAGCGCAGGAACGGAGCCGGTTGCCCTTCTCCGCCTGTAAAAGGGGCGACTGGAGGCCGGGTATCCCATAGACCAGCCTCTACCCTTTGGCGACCTGGCAGCGGCGGATGGCTCCCTGAGCAGCAAAGGGTCATGCTGCTTTAAGAGCGTGGAGAAGTTTGATAGAGTATGGACGAGGAAGGCGTTAACCATTTCGTCGTGGTGCACGCGTGAAACTGGCCGGGCTTCCTACACTCTCTTCTTGCTGTGAGATTGGATCTTTGCAAAGGAATCTGAAGTACGGCAGCCGAAATCGCTGCCAAGATTCATGAACTGTGCGCAGGTATGAAGCACGTTCTACCAGCAGTGGCCAGCAAACTGACCCACGGCGACGAATTTTCCGTGAGCCTCGGCCTGCATCTGGCAGGGGTTGGGCC